TATTTATCCGACAGAGAGAGAGAGAGATCACAAGTAGGGATAGAGGCAGGCAGAGAGAGAGGAGGAAGCAGGCTCCTTGCTGAGCAGAGAGCCCGATGCGGGGCTTGATCCCAGGACCCTGAGATCATGACCTGAGCCGAAGGCAGAGGCTTAACCCACTGAGTCACCCAGGCGCCCTGAGAAATCCATTTTCTTGTTGAAGTCTGGGCAGACTGAGGCACAGAATGGGTGGGAAGTGGCTGGAGTGGAGAGAAATGGTGTCTGTTCGGTAAAACAGCCTCCCAGTGGTGACCTGACAACAATTCTGTTGACATAACCCTGAGCATCAAAGCGATCCGCTAGCTGCCCCCGGCCAGTTACTGCGGCTCCTGGTGGAATTCACTCAGCAGATCCGGATCCGGTCCGGTAAATATAAAAGGTCTGATCCTTGGGTGGGGAACCACATCCTGGAAAAAGCTGCTGAGAAGTTCTCTCCTTCCAGAGCTAGAAGTTCTCCCACTGTGGCTGCAGCAGTGACCCCCCACTCTCGAAAGCCCCCAGCGACCAACAAGCCAGCGCCAGAATCATGGGCCTTGAGACGGATCTGGAGACCTGCTCAGGTAAGAGGTCGTGGGCGGGGGTCCTTGGCACCGCAGAAGGACCAGCTGAGGTGGGGCTTGGGACGGCAGACACCCTCCCTGGAGCTGCCAGGTTTCTCAAGCCATGGCTGGTGGGCTTTGTGGATCCCCTGTGTTAACGAACCTACCAGAACATGAGCTTCCTTCCAAGACTGTGTCATGAGGAAGAGCACATAGTGAAGAGAATTTATTTAGGTAACTCAGGGAGTTCACTGTTGGAGAGTCCAAGCTCTGGATTCGCACGGAGCTGCTCTGGCCCTCGCTTCATTGATAAGGGGGATGGACTGGCTCATGGCTTCTCCCTGAGCTGGGTCAGGAGGGTACAAAAGTAAGACTACAGGAATGCCAGCACGTCTAGATCCCCAGACGGCCCCAGGCACTACCAGTGGCCTCCAGGGCTAGGGACGAAATTGTGTCGGGGAGGGGAGGGCAGCCCGGTGCTCCCTGAGGACCACCATTTGCACAAGCCGAGCCTCAGTTTCCTCATCTGTAAAAGACGGCAGGACCTTCCTCTTGTTCGAGGACCTCATTACTTCAACAGTGTGGTCTGTGGACCAGCAGCACGGGCATTCCCTGGGGGATTGCTAAAAATGCAGAGCCTCGGGGCGCCTGGGTGGCTCAGTCATTAAGCGTCTGCCTCCGGCTCAGAGCATGATGCCAGGGTCGTGGGATCGAGTCCCACATTAGGTTCCCTGCTCAGCGGAAAGCCTGCTTCTCCCTCTCCCACTCCCCTTGCTTGTGTTCCCTCTCTCTGCTGTCTCTCTCTCTGTCAAATAGATAAATAAAATCTTAAAAAAAAAAAATGCAGAGCCTCAGCACAACGCCCCCCCCCCACCACCACCCAGCATACCAGAGTCCACTTGGGAAATTCCTACACACAGAAGCTCTGATCCCCGGGGCTCTGTTCCGGAAGGCAGACAGCTAAGTAGGGGAAAGCCAGGATTTCAACTCAGGTCTCCCTCGTGCTGAAATCCATGCTCTTAGACCCCACTCTCTTCCCATCTTTGTGTGTCAGCCAGTTGGGGAGTGAAACCCTCGAGGAAGGAACAGATGAATGAAGGAAACCACACCGGACTATGCTGACGCAAGCCTTCGGTCTCCTTCCTTCCAGGTGGGAAGCCTGCCTGCCATCCGAAGGCCATCCCTGCCGCTCACCTCACTTTTGTTATCGACTGTGCTCGTGGCAAACAGCTCTCCCTGGTGGAACCCCCGGTGCCCCCCCGAGCCTCCGGTCCTCATCTAGGACCTATCACTCCTCCAATGAAGACCTATATCTTGTTCTGTGGCGGAAACCCGCCCCACCTGACTAAGGAGGCCCCTGTGGGTGGGGGACTCCTGGCCCACCCTGGGGGGGGCCCTGCCAGCCCGCAGAGGGACAGTGGCCCCAGCTTCCTCCCCAGTCAGTCCACAGGTCCCCCAGGAGGCTCCTGAAGCCAAGGGGAATCCCTTGAAGGCTGTGACCTCGAGGTCTTCAGCTTGGGGCACGGTCATCGGCTCGCTCAAAGCCCTCTCCTCCTGTGTCTGTGGGCAGGCAGAGTAACTAGAAGAGCCTGGCCCTGGAGGAGAGGTTGGCACAGCGGGCTGGAGAGCTCCGAACTGAGGTTCCCAAAACCCAGCCCCCCCTTCCCCAGCCAAGCAGAAGTCTTTGTACCTGAGCCAAGGAACAGCATTAGAACGGTCAAGGACATCTGAAGCAGCCATCAAGTACACGCTCAAAGGTCTCCTCCTTCCTCCTACTTATCTTTGTTCGCCTTAAGGCACCTGCGCAGGGAAAGAGACTAGTTCATCCTACAGCAAATCCTAATGTCGCATATTCCGCACACCAGGCTCAGCAGAGTACTAGGAAAGACAGCACAGCATTCTTGGAGCTTATCCTCGGGGCGGTGGGTGTGGGTGAAGGCAAGGGTTAAATAAATAAATGAATCAATAAAGATGATTTTGAACAGTGATGGAACGAGTGCTATGTAGGACTCGACATGGGGTGCGGGGATGGGAGGTGATAGGAGGCACGGAGCTTTTCTGATACGGTGGGTGGGAAAGACCTCTGAGCGGGTCACAAAGTATGATCTAAGAGACGAGAAGGAGCCGGCACCGTGAAAATACGCCCTCCCCTCCGCCACCTGGCTGGCGTCCTGTCCCGGGGCGACCTGCGTGGCATCAGGCTGCCCCAGTGTGATGGGCAGGCCCAGCGAGTTGTCTGCCGCCATCCTGGCTCTTGGGCCAGTGTGTGGGTCCCTGGGAGACCCGGACACCAGGTGGGGAAATTCGGGGCCCCAGGCAGGGCCCCGTGACCCAAAGTGGGAGATAAGGGGAGCTGTCGGTCGAGAGGGCATGGGAGGGGCTCGGCAAGGTAATGGGGTTTCGTGTTTGATCAGATACATAAGAGCCTTATTTCCTGAGCAGCTACTGCATACCAGGCCCATAGGGATACAAGGGGTGAGTGGGGGTCCCTGCCTCATGGGGGCAGTCACGTTACCCAGCGGGAAGCGGGGTCACTGGCGTGTGTGTGAGGTTGTGTGTAGGTCTAAGATGGATGGCGGTGTGCGGAATGCTTAATCAACTCAACTTAATCCTGGAAGCATGTCTCCAGGATTTCTTGTTAAAATTGCTGAACGTCCCTGGGGGGCTCCATTAGTGAAGCATCTGATTTTTGATTTCAGCTCAGGTCATGATCTCAGGGTCGTGATATCAAGCCCCACATCAGCTCTGTGCTGGACATGGAGCCTGCTTAAGTTTCTTTCTCTCCCTCTCCCTCTGCCCCTACCCCCTCCCTCTCTGAAAAACAAAACCGCTATATGTTCATGTACTTATTTAACAACTATTTTGCTAGTTTCCTACAAACCCTAGTAGCCAAGTTGTACTGGCTGTTTGCTCTGTACCAGGGAAGTGACATCCTTGGGGGTTCCTGTGTGAGGAAGCTCAGGTTAGGGAGCTGAGGTGCACAGAGCTGAGGGATCCACTCCCCGGAATCCCTCTGAGGCAGAGGGGATCCAGAGGGAGTAGCCGTAACTCCGTCCTCCAGGAGCTCCCAGCCTGGTGGGGGAGGCAAGAAAGGAAGACGACTGTTACTATACCTTCTGATAAGTGCAACAGTAAGGCATACAGAATAATGCTGGGGCTGAAGGAGGGCGTCCAGCCCACTCTGGGGAGAAGAGATCCGGGAGGGCTTCCTGCAGGAAGTGGTATCTAAGATGTGACCAGAGAGTGAGCCACACAAAGGCAAGGGAACAGGGCTAGGGAGTGTTCCAGAATAAGGAACAGAGTCCTTCAGTCTGGCTGGAGTGTTCATTCACTCACCAGGTGTTTACTGGGCATCTACTGTGTGCTCTGGGCGAGACCCTCAGTTGGAGCCATGATAAGACAGACAAGGGCCCACCCTGAAGGAGCTCGTTCTCCGGTTGGGGGAAGACAATGTGTGCATGTGCACACGAAACAGTGGCCGGAGACGTGGCAGGGACCTCATCATGTGAGGCCTGGCAGGCCGTGATGAGGTCTTCAGATTTTATACTAAGATAGGTTCTGTTGGAAATTGTGAGCAGAGAGCGACATGCCGAGACCTACCTTTAAGAAAATAGTTCCTGTAGGGGCGCCTGGCTGGATCCGTGGGTAGAGCATGTGACTCTTATTTTGAAGTTTGTTTATTTACTTATTTATTTATTTACGTAACTGCTACACCCATTGTGGGGCTTGAACTCAAGAGCCCTGATCAAGAGTTGCATGTTCTGGGCGCCTGGGTGGCTCAGTGGTTAAGCCTCTGCCTTCGGCTCAGGTCATGATCTCGGGGTCCTGGGATCGAGTCCCGCATCGGGCTCTCTGCTCAGCGGGGAGCCTGCTTCCTCCTCTCTCTCTGCCTGCCTCTCTGCCTACTTGTGATCTCTGTCTGTCAAATAAATAAATAAAATCTTAAAAAAAAAAAAAAAGAGTTGCATGTTCTTCCTACTGGGCCAGCTAGGCGCCCTGAGCTTGTGACTCTTGATCTTGGGATCGTGAGTTCAGGCCCCGGGTCGGGCGTAGAGCTTACTGAAAAACAAAACAAAACTTTCCCTTGCACTTGTGCTGGGACCAGAAGGCAAGGGTGAGGGCGCAGGAGGGGGTTGGGAAGCTTCAGAGCCTGCCTCTAATCCAGATGAACGGGGGTGAGGGGGTGGCTTGGTCTAAATGGGTAGTGACAGAGTCATCTGGATGACGTTTGCCCCACCTCCCTCCTCCCGGGTGGACAAGCACGGGCTGGAAGAGTGGGAAGGCAATGCTGCAAAGGAAGCGTGAGGCCCTCAAGGAAGAGGGTGGGCCTGTGACTGCAGGTCCAGCTTTGTAACAGCAGGTGCCGCCCTATCATCAGACTGGAGGGCACCGTGTCCTGGCCGGGCGTGTAGGGTAGGGAACTGCTGGGCAAGGGGCCAGAGTCCTGGGCAGGCCACCCAATGGGGTCCATGCTTCCAGAAGCCCAACTGGCTTCTAACCAACACCCCCTTCATCCCGACAGTGACTATACGTATACATATACACATATACAATATATTATATTATATATACTATAAAATATAAAATATATTATATATATTTTAAGTGTATTTATTTTTTAGTGCTCTATACCTAGCATGGGGCTCGAACTCACCATCCTGAGATCAAGGGTCATCTGCTCCCTGACAGAGCCAGCCAGGTGCCCCATGACTATGTATTTTTTCACATGCACCACACACCACCTCTGTTCCTCTAGTATCAGACCAGAGTGGTGGGTATGACTTGTATGGGCATTTTGCAGATGAGGAAAGAGGCAGAGCCCAAATCCAAACTGCAGGCAGTGTGTCTCTGCAGCTGTAAGCCACCATGACCCTGAGCCAGGCGGCCGGCACTGTGTTCACATTTGTTCAATGAGCAGAGGCCCCAGCCTGGGCCGGGACTGTGTGCACAGAGTGTGTGGGGCTGAACGGGTGAGCAGGGACCTCACTGAGAAGGAACTCACGGGTGGAGGAGAGAGCTCAGTTAGTTTCTCCACCCACAATCCTGTGAGGCACTGTCCCATTTTACAGATGTGGAAACTGAGGCTCAGGTAGGGAAAGCCGCTGGCCCAATGTCACACAGCTAGCAAGTGGCAGAACAAGGGTTGAAATTAAGGGCATTTGGGGGGGCACCTGGGTGGCTCAGACGTTAAGCCTCTGCCTTCAGCTTAGGTCAAGATCCCAGGGTCCTGGGATCGAGCCCTGCATCGGGTTCCCTGCTCGGCGGGAAGTCTGATTCTCCCTTTCCCTTTCCCCATGCTTGTGGTCCCTCTCTTGCTATCTCTCTCTGTGTCAAATAAATAAATAAAGTCTTATAAGAAAAAAAGGAAATTAAGGTTGTTGGGCTTCAGAACTTTGCCTACCACCCATATTGCAAGAACTCAGAACAATTCTGTTGCAGGAATGAATCAATAAATAGAAGAAAGTGAACCAGTGAGTTCAAGTGTGAATGAGTGACTGTATTTCCAGCCTGGCAGCTGTGGTTCACCAGGGCTGTCTCCAGTGCCTTAAAGTGTTTATGCATGACAGGCGGTGGTCGAGAATGGTGTGAGAAGGAGGGGATATGGGCGCCTAGGCGGCTCAGTTGGTTGAGCATCTGGTTCTTGGTTTTGGCTCAGGTCATGATCTTAGGGTCACGAGACCAAGCCCCGGATCAGGCTCTGCATTCAGCACGGAGTCTGCCTGGGATTCTCTCTCTGCCTCTTTGCCTGCCTCTCCCTGTCTCGTTCTCTCTCTCCCCTGCAAAATAAATAAAGAAGTCTATTTTTTTTAAGATTTTATTTATTTATTTGATAGACAGAGATCACAAGTAGGCAGAGAGGCAGGTGGAGGTGGGGGGGAAGCAGGCTCCCTGCTGAGCAGAGAGCCCAATGCGGGGTTCGAGCCACCCAGGCGCCCCTAAAGAAGTCTATTTTTTAAAAGATATTTTAATTTGAGAGAGTGCGCATGAGTGGGTAGATGGGTAGAGAGAGAGAGAGAAGCAGACTCCTTGCTGAACCGGGAGCCGGATGAGGGACTCGATCCAAGGACCCCGAGATCAGGACCCAAGCTGAAGGCAGATGCCTCCCCAACTGAGCCACCTGGGTGCTTCTAAATAAATCTTTTAAAAAATTATATATATATATATTTTTTTTTTTTAAAGGAGGGGAGGGAGGGAAGGACTCGGAAGGATGGAAGGTAGGAACAGATTTGCTGTCTTGTCTTCTCCTCTGGGGCTCCGAGGGCCCGCAGCCCTGCTTTGTGCCCAGAGGGCCCACACCCAATCTAGTAGTCCCCAGACTCCCATGAAAAGTTGTCCCTGAGTCTTGAGACCTTGGAGGGCTTCAGAGCTGGGGACTGGTCCAGCTGGCTTGTCATGGTGAGCCCCAGGCCAGGGGTGGGTTGCCCAGCTGTGCTGACTGTAAATAACACTCCCTCCCCTGCCCAGAGGCTCCCTCCTGGGACACCTGCAGACTCCGGTCACCTGGGGCCCTCTGCAGCCTGAGGGCAGTGCCCGGTGAGTGGAAGCTTGGCTTCCCTTGCTCAGAAAACAAGCACAATTCTAACAAGGCTTTAGCATTTATTGAGCTTATAGTAAAATACCGTCTCTCTCCGGTTCCTTCTAGCAGCCCTGGGAGGATGGTACCTGATCTTTGTTTGTGGGATGAGGAAACTAAAGCTTCCAGAGGCTTCTTTCCCCCCCACCTCCACTTCCAGGGCCCAGACAAGATCTTCTGAGATGGCCAGGGGATCTTTTCGCTCTGCCCTTACCGGCTTTTCATAGACAGGAGACGGCTACCCAGGCAGCTCCCCTGCCCCTCTGGCCTGAGTCTTGGCCTCGAGAGAGCCCCAGACAGTGTGGCTGATACTGGGGATTCCAGGTGCATTTGAATTAGATGAAGTCACGGTAGCTGAGCCCTACTGGGCATTTCCAGAGCATGGCATACGTGAGCTCCAGTCGGCTACCCGGTGCCAAGCCCTTTCCACGCATCAAAAAACAAGCCTCGCCATGGAGTTAATTAGCACCACGCACAAGTGGGACGACTGAGGCACAGGAGGATTGTGTTACTTACTCAGGATCACATGGCTCAGAAGCAGCAGAGCCAAGATTTGAACCTAGGGGCTGCAGCTCCAGAGTCTGCACGGACCCTCCACTGTTTACTGAGCTCACTAGCTTTTCAAAACATCCTACAAACACCCACTTAGCTCCCTTCCCGGGCCAGGCTTGGAGCAAGAAGGCAGAAAAAGGCATCTTCTGCTACTGCAGAACTGGGATCCAAGGAAACTGAGGAGAAGGGAGATGGGCTGGGGGGGCACACTGTGGAGGTGGGGGTTACCTCTAGGACACGGAAAGGTGGCCATGGGCATGATGGGGGTTGGTCTGAAAGACATGCCCCCGCCTGAGGTTCCGGAGGCCCAAGTCTTCATCTCACCTCTGCCACTAACATCCGTGTGACCCTGGGGAAGGCTCTAGCCCTCCCTGGGCCTCAGTTTTCCCACCACACCAGGAGGAGTTTGGAGTGACTCCCTAAGGGGACAAGGCCGGCCAACCCCTTACCCTCAGTCAAGCACCCCCTGTCATCTGAGTTTCACTTTCTTTTGAACACCAAGTCTGGGCCTAGGGTTCTTTGGGCTTGTCTGTGCCCCTGAGTTGGTAGCTGTAGAAGGCTTTCTGGAGGAGGCAGCTTTGGACCTGAACGAGATGGAACTTTCTAGGTCCTTGGCACCCTTCTGGGTCTCTGGCACTGCGGGACCTGGACCTTCTCTCAGGTCTCCAGCCCTGGAAGGCTGCATCTTTTCAACTTCCCCTGCCCTCCTGCCCAGGCCTGCTTCAAAAACTATATAAGATGTACAAGTTTGCATTCCCTGTACAGGATGCCAGGTTGGGGCAGGGGAGCTGACTTAATCCTCAGGTGGTGTTGTGTTGAGGGGAGCGGGGAGGAGGGGCTGATTTGGACTTTCTAGACTCAGCAGAGAACTTTCTAGAGCCATATGACAAGGATTCAAATCCCAACCATGCCATTTCCAAGCTGGGTGACCTTGGGATGGTTGCTTGACCTCTCTGAACCTCTCTGGTACCTACCTTGCAGAACTATTGTGGGGATGAGCAGTATGCTTGGCACACACTAAGCGCTCAATGAATGGGGCTGCTAAAATTATTCTTCACGGGGTGGGGGTGGGGTGGGACGCAGGGCCTGTAGCCAGACCTATATTTAGCCAGGAAAGGGTGGGGGCCCCCCCGGGGAGACAAAGCGCCAGGGCCAGCCCGGGAGCCCACGGGGGCGGGGCCGATGAAAAAGGGCCTGCCGTCCCCACCTCCCCGCCGTCCTCCTCCGCAGGGTCACCTTGGTGGGAGGGCTCTCTCGGACACAGCTTCTGCTTTGTGCCCTGCTAAATCGTCATCTCCCCAAACCTCGGTCTGGGGAGAGGGCTGCTGGGGCTTGGGGGGTGGGGCGTATTCGGGCCCCACCGCCCACGTAGGGGGAGCTGCCCCTTTTCCCAGTCCCGGCTGCCCGCCTCCCAGCCCCCGCCCCCTTCGCGACCCAGGGAGGGACATCGCTGGGGTCTCGAAGCCAAGGTGAGCCTGTCCGTGGGTGGGGGGTCGAAGGAGACGGGGAAGCTAGCCCGGCTCCACGCCCAACCCCCGCGCCCGTGAGTTTCGGGGCTGCAAATAGCCCAGTGGAATCAGTGAGTCACGGAGGCTGGAAATACCGCGCCCCCTCTCCCTTCTCCTCCCGTCTCCTCCCGTCTCCTCCCCTCCTCCCGCCTGCAGCGGGAGCTGCTCTGGGGAGCGCCTGGCGCTCGGGTTTCAGTGGCGTCTCCTGGTGTTGGGGGGGGTCCCTCCAGAGCGCCCCCAGACTCCCTGAACCAGCCAGCCCCCCAACCAGGGTCCAGCCTGGCCTGCCGCTGGGTCTGTGCGACCCTGAGCCGCTCACTCAGCCAGTCTGGTCCTCACACAAGATGGGCTTCCAGCGGGTAGGCGGCACAGGACAGCTGGCCCGCCTTCCGGGTCCCTATGCCTGGGACGGTGCCTGGCAGTTGAAAGAGAAGTCTCGGCAAGGTTTTTCAGGGAAATAATTCTGGGATTCCTGCTCAGATGGGTCTGGGAGCCCAGGGAGGAGGCCAGAGCAAACTCACGGGTACTTGAGCTGCCAGGCCTGGCCCCAGGTCTCGGGAAGGCATGTCGGCTTGTTCTGGGGTTTCTCCCCCTGGCTGCTTCCAGCCCCATCCCAAGTTTGAGAACTTCAGGCAGGTGATCTCCAGAAGTCTGTGTTTCTCTTGTTTATTGTGTGTGCAGGGTACAATGCTAGGGCCCTCCCATGCCCCCTACCACCACCCTCCCAGACATCCCCTAAGGGCCCCAGAATGGCAGGGGTGGGAGGCCACCCCATAGGACACTGACCTAAGAGCTGCAGAAGTGAGAAGCTGGCCCCTCCTCCTGCCCCAGGAGGCCTCACCTATGGCAAACCACCCTTTCCTCGCCCCCCACACTCCTGCTTCTGTATGTTGGAGACCAAGCCAGTGCCACTGGGGATGCCTGGGACTCCCCAGGATGAAAGCTGCCTGGAGGTCCCCTGCCCTGGACTGAAGACGAGGGGAACTGGGTTGGGGGCTCTTCCTATGACGGGGCTCTCTCCAGCAGAAAGCTGTGGGGCAGGGTGCAGAGGCCATGAGAGGCACAATGAGGGGAAGCACCCCCTGGCACTCAGAGGCGGGTGGGGCGCAGTTTCAGAGTAGCCTTCACAGCCTGGGTTCAAATCCAGCCTTTAATGAGTGAGCCGGGCTTTCAACCGTTCAGAGACTCAGTTTCCCCCTTGATAAAAGTAGAGATGGCAAAATCTGATTTCTGAATGTGCTGAATTCAGCCTCAGATAACAGTATCGCTCAGTATTTGAAGGACAGGACTGTGGGTCCGTGTGGGGTGTATACACAAACCAAGCCTATAGATTCATTGATTAAAGAGAGGGAAGGGTGGGGGAGGTGACTGGCCACAGGGGAATGGTGACAAGAAGCTGGGGCCCAACCTTGAAGACCCAAGGCCCTGTCCATGCTGTCTCCCGCCTCAGCTGGGTGACCCGTCTGCGGGGGCGGGGGGGCGGTCTCTGGGCGGGAGGAAGGACCAGCCCCTCCCCACAGCGAGGCCTTGCTCGAGGGCACAAACAGGTAAGGGGGCGGGGCTGTTGTACAGTTTATCACCAACCAGGTGTATTGGAAAAACCCCAGCTATATACAGACATTGTGTGCCCCCTGCCCCCCTCCCCGGGCACAGCTGGCCAGTGGGGGAAACAGGCAGGCAGCCCCGCAGCATGCTTGGGGCTTGGGGCATAGGGCATGGCAGAGAGGAGGGTCCCCGCCATGGCTGTCCCCTCCGGCTTCCCTGTGCAGTTTGGCTCGGATCAGCAGCTTTGCCTAATATCTATCTGCCTTTGCCTCCCCTGCTCCCCTTGGTCAAGGGGGTCCCAGATCCCTGTCCCCTCCACTCCTGCCCTGCAACTCCAGAGATCAAAGGATTTGTCTGTCTGTCCTGCAGATTTTTTGCCTGGGGATCGTGCCTGTCCCTGTCCCCCTTCCCCAAAGTGGGTTCTCTGGGAGCTTCCTTTTCCATCTAAATCCCTTTATTCCGGATTCAGTGAAAGAGGCCACATCTGGAATCTGGGGGCCATTGGTAAGGCAAAAGGTTCCCTGGCCTGCCCTGGAGAGCAGAAGGCCTCAGTTTAGCGGGCAGGGGGTAGGTGACCCACCTCAGGGCCTGGAACTTGAGCTGAGATGTTCTGCAAGCTGTCATGAGGGGTGAGGAAAACGTCTCTGGCAGGCCAGTGGGGGCAGAAGAGGGGAAACGGGAGGGGACGGGGAGGGGGAGGCCCTCAGATTTTGATCTCCGTCCGGAAGGTCTGCTGGACGTGCTCCGTGTGCGGGTGGCGCCGGGCCCGGATGGTGAGGCTGCCGTCCTCCCTCAGGGCCGAGGTCACTGAAGTGGGGTCCACGTCCTCAGGCAACTGGCACTTGTGAGCGAAGGTGTTCATGACTGTGCCATCAGCTGCCAGCTGGGGAAGGGGTGATGGGTCAGGGCTGGGTGCCCCTACCCCTGTCCTGTGCAGGTCAAGCCACAGCCCTTTTTCCTCCTCTCGCACCAGCCAGGCCCCCGCGCACACACATTGAGGGCTCTAGTCTCAGGTGCAGAGGGGCTGGCCTGGGTGGCTGTGGCCGGGACTGCGCGCAACAGGGTGCTCAGAGGAGCCCTGGCGCTCCCCAGGGGGGAGGTAAGGGGCTGGGGGGGGCTAGCTCAGGGAGGAAGCAGCTGAGTGGCGGAGTCTGGAGCTCCTGAGCAGAGAAGAGAAGACAGCACGGAGATGGGCCATGCCCCCTGGGATGCCCAGACACGTCCCTGGCTGGACGGGCCGCCCCTCCCCCCGTGGCTTGGCCGGCACACAGTGTCCAGAGGAGCCTGGGGTGGCTGAGTCACTGGCGAGGGTTGCCGGCTGGCACGTGCCGCCCGCTGGTCCTGGTGCCCACAGTCCTCGGCTTCTCTGGCCGGGGTGCTGGGGCGGCCTGCCCTCTGTGCTCAGCAGAGGAAGTCAGGTCACAGAGGATCTGCAGGAAGCCTTGGACAGACCCTGTGTGCGGGGCCGCTGTGGCTGTGGCCCTCCGGGAGCAAGCCGGGCCACACCCTCCTTCCCAGTAGAGGCCTCCTGGGAGCTGGGACTCTGAGACCCTAGTGACCCAGTGACCCTGAGACCCTTGGGTGCAGGAGTTGTGAGGTCTGGAGTGCCTCTGAGCCTGAATGGCAAGGTCTCAGCCCAGCCTTGGGCCCCGTTGGAGGATCCCAGGGTAGGGGCTGAGCCTCCGGGTGGGGGAGGAAAGAGGGACTTGAAGGTGTCACGTGGGTGGGCTCTTCTCCCCACCTACCCACATGCCTGCCAGAAAAGCTGTCCCCACTCAGCTACCATCTCCATCCTCTCGGCTGCCTCCTCTCCTCACCTCCTCTGGTGCCCCCTGCCTGCATCCCTGCACGCCTCTCCCGTTCCCCCATGGCTCCCTCAGCTGCCCTTGGCTCCTAAAGGAGGGGTCTCCACGCCTTGGGGCAGGGAGGGGCAGCAGCGGTGGGTGGGGAGGGGTAGCCCTCGGCCTTCCAAGTGACAGGAGCAAGGGCTGCAGTCCGGGTCTGGGGTCCCAGCAGGGGCAAAGGGGTTGGGGGGACACTGCACGGAGGGTATGGTGGAATGAGGGTCCGGGCAGGGCGGGCAGGCTCACCTTCTCAGCCCGCACCTCGATTTGGTTGTTGGAGGTGGTGACGATGATGTCTTCAGGTGAGAAGTCACTCACGTCCACCGCAAACTCATAGGCGTCCCTGAGAGTCTTGATGTTGCCCTGTCCCCCGGGCCGGGCTGTGGGGAAGGCTGGTGAGAGCTGAGCCCCAGGCAGGCCTGCCTCTAGAACCTGGGTTCCCGGCTCCTCCCCGCAAGCCTGGCCTCCCCCTTGGCTATTGTTGCTAACCAACCCGCCCCCCCCGCCCACCTCTCCTCGCCTCCTGCAGCCCACCTTTTTCATGGGCAGCTGAGTGACCCTGTGGGCGGCAGCCCGCCCGGGACTGGAGGCTGGAGGGTGCCTCCCACCCCTCAACCCCGTTCAGTCCTCCAGGGCTCCAGGGAGGACCTGGCCCTGGGCCCTGTGTGGCCACTGGTGTCAGAGCGAACCCCTGGGCCTACAGCTGTTCCTTGAAGGCCAGTCTGTTCTTGGGGCCACATCTGTCTCTGTGGCCACGTCTGTCATGGTGGCCACACATGGCTACGGTCGGGCAGCACCTGCTCTGGGCAGCTCAGCAGCAGCATTCACAGGTGCCCTGGAGCAGGTGTCCCCTCCCTGAGCATCTTCCCTCTGAGCCCTGACGACTTGCCTGGGAAGGCCAGGGGCTCCGAGCGGGGCCGCATGAAGCTGCCAAAATCCTCGGAAAACATGCTCAGGGCTTTCTCCATGGGTGGGTCCTGGGCCGGGAGGGCACGGGAGGCTGAGGAGGATGAGGACGAGGATGAGGACGAGGATGAGGACGAGGAGGAGTGGAAGCTTCTCTCCGCTCTGAAGGTGGAGGAGGTCCTGTGGCTCATCCACGGGCCGGCGGCCGGGCGCTGGCCAGGCGGACAGAGGGACAGGAGAGGGTGTGGGCGGCAGGCTCTGGGGGAGCGTGCCCGGCCCTGGCTGCCGGCGCTTTATAAGGCCCGACCGGCCCTGGGCTTGGGGCCAGCCCCTTGTCTCCGAGCTAAATTTAGGCCTCGCCTCGGCCCAGAGGGGGCTGGAAATCTTCTCCGGTGAGGCGGCCCTGCTGACAGTCCGACACACGCAGACCCAGGCTGAGCTCATGGCCCGGCATTCCAGGCCGATAAGTCCAGCCTGGGGCCTCCGCAGCGACGGGCCGGGGGCAACCTGTCCCCTCACCACTCGGACCCCTGTGCCTGCCACAGGACCTTGTGTGTGTGGTGTCTCTGTGTTCCTGCCTCCCCCATCAGCCTGGGGTGGGGGGTGCTCTCTAGGGACTGTGCCTCCCCCATCAGACTGCAAGCTTCTTGAGGATAGGGTTTTCTGCTTCCTGTGCCCTCTCCCTCAAACTTCCAATCCTTGGGAAGAGGGGATCTGGGTGGTGGGCAGTCAGGTCAGCAGGGTCCCAAGGTCCTGGCTCTGGGGAGAGCAGGAGATGTGAGGTCAGAAGGTGGGGCAGGTGGAAACCTTCCACCTGTTGGACCCCGTGTGAGAGACTCCTCCCTCAGGACAGATAATGTTTATAGCCATGTCTTAGGGAGGCCTGAGACAGCCCTTGGGGGGCGGGCGGGGTGGCTAGAATGTGCAGCTGTCCCCCCGCCCGCTCCCACGGGGACCCAGATTCTTGCCCTCTCCCCACTCTCAGAACATTATGGGGCCCCAAGAGGAGGAAGCTGGTGGCCCTTGGCCGGGGTGGGGGTTGGACCAGGACTGCGGGGGGCAGATAATTTGATAAGTGTCCTTAAAAGTCTAGAAGGTTATGTCACTGGGAACTGTCTGTTTGAGCTCCAGCTCCATGTAGATGCTCTGGGTCGTGGGGGGCAGGATTTCAGGGAGAGGTAAAGGAGAATTCCACAAGATGCTATTCTAGTTCTGATTTCTGGAGTGCCTCCTGCCTGTGAACTTTCCAGCGAGGCCCCACTTGATCCCCACTCGGCTGGGCTTGGGGAAAGAGCTGTTGTTCCCATTTTACAGGTGGGAAAGTGGAGCCTCACAGAGAGGGCGGGGTTTGCATGTGGGTAAGTGGCAGAGCTGGGATTCAGACCCAGGGGCCTCTGATTCAGAGCCCTCCAGGAAGGGCTCCTAGATGGCTCAGTTCAGGTCAACATCCCAGGGTCCTGGGAAGCAGCCCCACATCGGGCTCCCTATTCAGACTTGGGGAGGGTAGTCTGCTTCTCCCTCTGCCCCTCCCCTGCTCCCTGCTTATGCCTTCTCTTTCTAATAAACAAATAAAATTAAACGGACAAACAAAAAAACAATCCAGGATGCCTGGGTGACTCAGTTGGTTAAGTGCTGCCATCAGCTCAGGTCATGATCCCAGGGTCCTGGGATTGAGTCTCTGCTCAGTCCTGCTGAGCGGGGAGCCTGCTTCTCCCTCTGCCTCTGCCTGCCACTCTGCCTGTTGTGCTCTCTCTCTCTGTTTGACAAATAAATAAATAAAAATTAAAAAAAAAATAAAACAACACAACCCTCCAGGAGGCTGGGGTGACCTGACCATACACGTATGGAGACAGACTGGCCCAGAAGGCCCTCTCTGGCCACCCACGGCTCAACAGAGCCAGGACTGACATCAGGTGGGGGTGTGGGCAAGGGGTGAAGCAGGGGAGGCTATTCTGGGCTGTGGGCGCTGCCCAGGCTACTGTGTGGGGTTTCTGCTCTTCTCTCCAAATCCTGCCCTTCCTGCCCAGACCTGCTCTGATTCCTCCTCCTCCAGGAAGGCCTCTGTGATTGCTGCAGCCACACAGAGGTCAGATTGGCGGTTCACCTGGTGCAGAGGTCCCCCCTTTCCCCATTAGACTGGGGGTTCCTGAAGGTGGGGGCTGTTCTTTTCTTGGGTTCCCACAGAGCACCATCCTTGGGGGGCTCCTTCTAGGGATAATCACTGGTGCTTGTGGTCTGTGGGTGGGGGCAGTGTGGAGCTGGAAACTGGGGGGAGTGGCTAGAGCAAGAGGGGGTCTGCATCCTAGTGAATGTTCCTGTTGGGCCCGTGTCGCCCATCCTGGCCAAGGGGTTCCAGTGGGGCTGCCAGGAAGTGACCAGCACGAGGCAAGATGGAAAGAGGGTAGGGGCGGGGGTGGGGGGCCCAGAGGCCTCCCGGCCGCCAGGGAAACAGGAGCCAGTGGCTAAATGCAGACACACTGTCATGGTGCTGAGGGCCTGAGTCACTGCTCCTGGACGTCAGATCCCGTTACCCACCCCCGCCCACCGTTCCTCCTCCCCTTCCCCCTGTCCCTGAGACATGGCCCATAAATGTCCTGGATCGTCTGGCTTCTGTGGCCAGGAGGGACCTCAGAAGGTCATCGAGGCCATGCCCCTGTCTCTGGGCGTGCTCACCCTCCAGATCACAGGGATAGAAGGAACATCTGAGATGATCCAATGCTTTGAATCCTAAACCTGCCAGGGCGGCCTGGTCACCTGGAGGAAACTTAAACGCACACAGACTCTTCCTCTGCGCACCAAGATTATGACTTGGGCTCTTGGGAAGGGACAGGGTATCTGTTCCCATCAGCTCCGCACACGGCTGCACAGCTGGCCCATAGGCCAGAGTTTGGAAACTGCTCATCGCTCAGCAGATGTTTGCTGAACACCTGCTATATGGGGGGCGGGGGCTGTTCTAGGCTCTGGGGGAGTCATGATGAATGAGGAATGCATCCATGACACTCCGGCTCTCCTCATGGGACAGAAGAGGACACCAAGGCTCTGAGCCGTGGAGGACCCTGTGGTGACAGAGTGGCAGGGTGACAGAGCCGTTCTAGCATCAAGGTTGCTCTTACCCTCCACGGCACTGGGGCTGGATGCAGGAAAATGGCTTTGGGAGGGACTCTGCTACTCTCTCCCCAGCTTCCTGGTGTTCCCAGGGCGGGAAGGTGAGGGTGTGGACGGGCAGCACCTGCCAGGCGGCTGAGGCCGGCTGTGGGATCATAGCCTAAGGCTGCCCGGAGCCAGAGGCTGGGGTTTGGGATGTCAGCAGGGCAGGCAGTTATCCTGTTACTGTAGCAGTCGCCAGGCTGGGGCCCCGCAAGGCAACAGTGGGCCCAGCCCCTGCGGAGCAGCAAGCCCCACCCACCTCCCCCCTTGCAGGCACATGGGCTCCTGTTTGGGATGGACTTGGCCAGGCATCCAGGAGCAGAGGGTGGCTCAGGGTCCCAGGATTTTGGCAAGTCACCGAAGGGTCATCAAGATTTTCAGAAAGGAGCTTTGTCTGGGGGAGGGAGAGAGGGCAGTTATCCCAAATCTTTCCAAAAGGGACGTCAGACTCAAATCCTCTGCTTTGTGCCCAAACCCCTGTCCTGACTGATGAAAGCCACAGGGGCTGGAGGAGCCCGAGGGAGGGGAGAAGCAAGACAGTCTAGATCTGGGTTCAGCCTCTGCTGTGTGACTTCAGAGAAGTCACTACACCTCCCTGATCCTCTGTCATCTGCCAAATGGTGATGCTGCCCTTGACTCACAAGGATGCGGGAGGATAACTGTGTTGCAGACCTAGAGGGCCTGGCGTGTGGCTGGCACATAATCTGTGCTTGCTCCCTCCCCCTCATGCCCTCACCCCTACCCTCTGCTGGGGCAGGACCGTCTGGTGCATCTACTGAGAAGCATGGTGGTTTGAGAGGTCCTTCCCTGAGGCTAGAGGGGCTGGACCTGGGGATCAAGTTCAAGTTCCTCCCCAGGCCTCAGAGGCCTGCAGCACCCCACATCACCGCACTGCTCCCATTTGTCAGTCTCCTCCCGCCCCCCACCCCCCAGCAAGGTGGGCGGCGGAGCCGGGTGCAGGCTTTGGAGTCTTACAAACCTGGCTGAGAATTCCGGCTCTGCCCCTTGGTCTCTGTGACCTTGGACAAGCAGCATCACCCCTCAGAGACTCCAATGTCTTTAACACGGGATCTAGTTCCTGCCACCTCGCTGGGTTTCGGTGAGCACGCACCGATTTGGGGGAGGGCTGAGCACAGAGGCTGGCACACAGCAAGGGTGCGGTAGTAAGGGGGCCCTCGCCTTTACCCAAGGTCTTCCTCCAGCTCTATCGGCTTTCTTCCCTCTCCTTTCCCTGCTTCCTCAAACCCTTTCCGTGTCCAGCTCTGAGGATCCAGCCCCCGCAGAGGACCCCCCACTGTGCTGCTGGGTACAGGAGCTTCTCCACCTCCTCCATGTCCCCCAGCCAGCCGCGGGGAGCCCCCAGCGTGGTCGAGTGCCACCCTCCGCGTGGCTCTCCTGGGCTCTAGGGAGCTCCAGCTCCTGGTCCCCCGTGGCTCTTCTGGCTTGCACGGCTCAACCGGCCTGGGCAGTTCTGGGTGGTTTGTCAAGGACATTCTTAATGGCCAGGGTCAAGCCCGGCAGGGCGGGCGGGGGGGGGCACCCAGGGTGTGGATTGGTGGAGCACAGACCTGTCCAGGCGCACCTGGGCTGCAGGCAAAGGAGTCTCTGTTAGAGGAGGGCCAGCTGGGGCCACAGCAGGGCCGACGGACAGAGGTGAGGGGCTGCCGGGTGTCGAGTGGGGGCCCGGACTGGGGTGGAACCTGCCGGGGCCAGGGCAGGCCAGACAGGAGCAGGAGGCTTGGTGGGAGGGAGCCAGCACCTCTTTACAACCATCATGGATCTGCTGTTTCCCTGCCTCTGTGGCCTGAGCAGGAGAGAGGGGGCTCAGGAACGGGCATGGGGAGTCAGAGCCGTCCATGGGGACCTCACGGTGCCAGCGACTCTGCTGGGCAAGGAGATCTCTCTGCACAAGGGAGGCAGCTGTGCTTGGAGGCAGGATAGGAGCAATGTCAACAGCAGGGGGAAGGGAGTTCTGAGGCTTGGGCTCCTGCCATGACCAATCTGCTCCTGGACACGGAGGACACTGGAACCCCGGCCCCCACCCCTGTACCTTCACACACATATGTGCACCCTCGGCACCCTCCCTCAGTGATGAGGACACATCAGACCTATGTCCCCTCCTGATAGCTTCACACACACG